ACCAGTACTCTGAAACTTGTGCATATCTTACCATGTTGTTATTCTTGTTGCATATCTGTCAGCATGCTAACCTTTATGGCATTAGAATTATGGGACGCAGTCCTTCATTGAGGAAATAGTGAACTGTCGTGTTTGTTAAACATGGTATCATATGTGCACATCTATAACTTATTATAAGGACATTTCAGTACTGCAGTGAACCTCCTTGGGCACATTCAAGTTCTGTTCTATTTACAAACAGAAGCATTTATATAAAACTAAAGCCTCAAGAGTATGAAATGAGCAAATTCAGCCAGGTGAGTTGTTACATTGATAATACACAGAAGCCAGCAATCTAACAAGAAGATACCTTGGAAGAACAAAGAAACGCTTTACAATAGCAATAACAATTTCCAGAAGTAAAAGTGTAAAACGATGGTTCTGGTATATAATGAGATCAGTGTAGCAGTGGATGTAATACCCTAGCACACTTGGAAATTAACTGGATAAAAATATTTCATTGGCGAGGGAAAAAAAGATTATTCTTTAAGTCAGTGGTTCTCAACCTTCCTAGATGCCGCGACCCTTTAATACAGTTCCTCATGTTGTGGTGACCCCAACCATGAAATTATTTTCGTTGCTACTTCATAACTAATTTTGCTACTGTTATGAATCGTAATGTAAATATCTGATATGCAGGATGTATTTTCATTGTTACAAATTGAACATAATTAAAGCATAGTGATGAATCACAAAAACAATATGTAATTACATATGTGTTTTCTGATGGTCTTAGGCGAACCCTGTGAAAGGTCGTTTGACCCCCAAAGGGGTCGAGACCTACAGGTTGAGAACCGCTGCCTTAAAGTGATGGGATAATGGGTAGCCAAATTGGGGGAAGAGGGAGGTAATGACTTACACCAGAAATATCGGATTAATTGGAAAGGGAAAATAAAACCTTAAATATTAGGAACTGAGGCCTTCCTAGGTATGATGGCAAACCCAAACAAATAGGTTTGATTAAAATTCTGTAGGCAAACAAACTTCGTTAAGAAAAGTGGGGTGGTGAGTATACAGGACTGCAACTTCTCACAATTCAAATGGTCAATATCTAAAGATTGTAGAGAGGTGAGTGTTGTTTTTTGTGTATTTTTTTAGCATAAAGGATGTGAAGTTAATATGAATAGTTCTTAAATATGAAAAGATCTTTAACCTTAGCAAATTAAGAGCCATGAAGATACTTTTAATTTTTTAACCTACTTTTTAAAACCTATGTTATAAAAAGTTTGAAGAAATTGTCATTTTAGTAGGGTACATAAGTCAGTATAACCCCTTGAGCTTAATTTGACATTCTATATCAAGGTTACAAATAGTTGACTCAAAATTTCATTTTGGAAAATTTAACATACTTCATTTGCAAAGTGAGTTTCAGAATTAATGCAACATTGTTGAAAATAAAAGGCTAAAACAACCTAATGTTCAATAAAGGATGGATGAAGAATACAAAAGATTACAGGCCTAAGTATGAGGACTACATACTATAATATATGTAAAGATCTTCACTATCAAGTGGGGAAAAAAGCAATGAAGATGTGGGATATGACATACTACCTTTTGTGTAAAAAAAAAAAATCCACAAAACCAGTTCTATAAATAACATCTAGGAAAGATGACCATGAATCTGGTACCATCGGAGCACTGGCTACTTTAATGAGGATTTGCATGCCGGACCATGTGAATATACAAAAGTTTTAATAAAAAAAGGAAGCACACAATTTCTGTTCAAAAGGATAGAAATTTTACACAACCTTACAGCTTTCTTTGCCTTGTCTCAAATTAGGTCTTGAGATGACTTGCAGGTATATATTCAGGTCAGTGTTACTGGTACAGCAGTGACAGTATAAATTCTTACAATTAGGAAGACTTGCCATGTGACTAAAAGTCCCAATACCAAAGACAAGATTATATAAATCATCTGAGAGAATTGTGTTCCAATCGGGGTAAAGTAGCTATCAACTATTGCTGTCATTTTTTATTATTATTGTTTAAAGTTTTACATACGTCTCCTTTTTCCCTGATTAACACCTCCCGCCCCCCAGCCATTCCCACCCTGGGTAAGCCCCCACCGCCCCACTGTCTGTGTCCATTGGTTATGCTAATATGCCTGTCATTTCATTTTTAAAAATGACACTTTAAGACCCCAACTAGGGGCGGAGGGTAGTTCTTTTTTAATAAAGACATTCTGTGTTGTCCTTAATTTTTCTTCATGGCATGGGTTAATGCTGGTTATATCTAACTAGTCTTAGCCCTTCTACCAAAGTTACTAGCACTCTGTCGCTAAGAGATTCTTTGAAGTTCTTGCATTTTTACCTGTATCTTCTGGTTTTATGGCTTCAGTGGAAATACTGCTGGAGCTTCTCTGGTATCTGGGATTCATGACATCATGACATTTCTTATTTATATTGTGATACAAATGAGATGGGTTTTCAAGGTTTTAAATAAAAACTTTTCTTTGTGTGCCATCACAAGTTTCAATGGCTTAAGATCCCTTTTTCTTCACCATAATCTTGTGCAAGGTACTAACTTCTCTGTGCCTCAGTTGCTTCTTTTTTAAAATGAGGAAAAGGATAATAGTTCTTACCTCAAAGGATTGTTGTGAGGATTGAGTTAGTTAATGCTCAGTAAGTGTCGTGGTGGCAGTGGTTCTAATATTAGGTAAAGGGAGGTAGATGGGGCCGAAATGGGTACGGGAGGAATTAAACCTTCAGGTGTTCTTTAGACATCGAATGGATTGCATTTGAGCCTTTTGTTGCCTACTAGTATCAAAGTACTAGGTCAGTGATGGCGAACCTTTTGAGCTCGGCATGTCAGCATTTTGAAAAACCCTAACAACTCTGGTGCCATGTCACATATAGAACTTTTTTGATATTTGCAACCATAGTAAAACAAAGATTTATATTTTTTATATTTATTTTATATATTTGAATGCCATTTAACAAAGAAAAATCAACCAAAAAAATGAGTTCATAGGTTCGCCATCACTGTACTAGGTCGTGGTGGAGAGAGAAGCAATCATTTGAGAACTAATTTTGGCAAGGACACTAATAAGATTTGTCAAATTTAGGGGGATCTTGATGCCATTGCAATTTATTTGAAGATAATCTGTCAAGCAAAATGGTAGTGAATGGATTGTAGAAAAAACACAAGACTATTGTTATTGGCTATTTACATGAGTAGCAATGTTAATGTGACGATCTAATGCTTAGAAGAGCTATGGTATTTAGAAGCTGCTCAACAATTGCTGCATTTCTCCACTCCACCACAAGATGGCAGATATTCCATTGTTTAAATATTTTTCTATTATTTTGTTGTTTCCCCCTCTATTCACTTGGTGACTTAATGAGTTGAGTAACACATATAACAAGTTCTTTTGAATGCAATATTGGATTTAATACTACTTGAATTAAACTACAAATTGGTGTACTGATTTAGGTTTTTCTTTTTTATTGATTTCCGATAGAGGATGGGAGAGGGAGAAATAGAAATATCAATGCTAATAATCAGTCGGCTGCCTCCTGCACCTCCCCTACTGGGGATCAGGGCTGAAACCCAGGTGTGTGCCCTGACCTGGAATTGAACCATGACCACCTGGTTCATAGGTCGATGCTCAACCCCAGAGCCACAGCAGCCAGGCTTGGGTTTTTCTTTAAGTAGAGAAATTATAACACTAACTTATGAACTGTACATGCATAAAACACAGTAGTGTACCTGGTAGTAAACAGTTCTTGTGACTTTATAGTCAAAAGTGGAATGGAAATGAATATTAAAACCAGAATAGTTTTCTATTTTGGCTGAGGGTGGAATAATTTAATCTATACTAATAAAAGGGTAATATGCTAATTAGACTGGACGTCTTCTGGATGACCATCCGGACAGTCACAGTGGCTGCGAGGGCCGAGGGGCGTGGGAGAGGCACGGCAGCGCGGCCCCTTTCTCACAGGCCATGGGAGAGGAGGCGGCGCAGCTGTCACCACCACCACCCCTTCCGTAGAGGCGACGCGGGAGAGGGGGCTGCACGGTCCCAGTGATGCCCCTTCCACAAAGGCAGCCACAGAGGCAGCGGTGCAGGCCCGGTCCCGGCGCCATGCCTCCGCAGAGGCTGGACGGGGTGTGACCTGCTATGCCTCAACCTCCCCCAGCCTCTCCCCCAGCCAGCCTGGCCCAAGATCGCCCCCTACCCACCAGTGGGCAGGGGGCGGGGCCAGCGCTAAGAAGCAAGGACCAAGGGCCAGCAGCCGCAGTGGCCAGCAGGGGCAGCAGCAGCAGGGTGATGGGGCAGTGCCTTCCCATGATCTTCCCGGTCGCCTCCCGCAGAGGCAGGCCAGTAGGACATCCCCTGAGGGCTCCCTGACTGTGAGAGGGGGCAGGCCAGGCTGAGGGACCTCCCCCGCCATCCCCAGTGCACGAATTTTTGTGCACCGGGCCTCTCCTACATACATAATAGAAAAGGAGAATTGAAATTCATTTCTAGGAAAATAGCTTAGTGTAGTGATGTTAATATTCAGGGGCATTGGATTCTTGTTTCATAACTCCTATTACTAAACTAAGTACCTAACCTCTTTGACCTTTTAAATTATGACACTTTACAGCGTCGTGATTAGTATTAATAAATTCTGTTCTGGTGGAATAAATTAGGAGGGAGAGTAGATTCATTCCTTGATTAGATTCTGTTATTTTCTCTTTTGTTTAATAATTTAAGAATGTTTAAAAGTTGAGCAGATATGTATAAATTAATTATTTCTAAAATAAGATTAATGGATTTCTGAATAGGTACAATTTTTTGCCAGGCCCATCTTGGGTCCAGTGGTATGTGTGTTTAGGAATGAGTTGAACAAAGTTATGAATTGAAATCTAAGACTCTAATCACTTTTGAGTTGTAAATTATTAGTCCATTGATAAAATCAGAAGCTCCCAGCTTTTCTTACGTATTACCTAACTTCTTACCTGTTTTTGTCTCTTCAGAAACCAACATTTTAAGGGTGACCTCCAGTCACTTGCTATGTAATTAACAGGCTGATGTACAGGTAAAACTTTAATAAACAGGCAGGTATAGAAAGGCGGTTTCTAAGTTAAAAGAAAACATTATCAAAATGCTTCTGCTTAGCAAATACCAACACAAGGTCATCATGTCTGGCAACCAATAAACTGATTTAAAGAGGCAAGATTTCTCCTTTGGCTTTTAAAATTGCACGTAGGCTATGTCGTTAGGCGAGAAAGGTACTTCAAAACTCTTATTCTGCAGCCTAACGGGAGACTTTGAATTTGTGTTGCCTGAGACTAAATTCTAGGTGAGCTTGTCATGCTTGAGGGCACCCTTGGGTCCTCTGGTGGTGGATATTAGCCTGCCAGGTGCAAGAGTCCTTAGTGGTTTAGAAGTTATACTCCGAATGGTTCACATGGGCTAAAAGAGCTGGGTTTCTAATTCTCACTGGATCTCCCTGAAGGAGACATACACTATTTTCCAGGAAAAGATTTTCTCTACAATCCAAAGTCCAAACTATTATTAGCTATCATCCTCCCCATCAATCAAATGCAAATAAAACTTCTTGTGCTGAATTACTTTTACAAGTATTATTTTCAGACACATTTATTTGTGTGGTTTCATGTTTACAGGTAACAGGCTTTGGTCCAGTTTCTGTGCTATTCCCTTCTGATGGTGAATGCCATTTTGAAATCTGTTTGAAACCCAAATTAAGGTCTGATATATCTTTAAGTAAATGGCAATGCACTGGGCTTTCTTAATTTAACGACTCTTCTGCCAACCTATTTCTAGAGTTACGAAGGTGTGCAATCAATCTGATTGTCCATATTGTGCACCCTGGGCCCTAATAGTTAGGTAAGATAAGTGGCCCCTTCTTAAACCTGTCTGTGCTTCGTAAGTGACCTCAAAACACCATCACCACTTAGAGAAGCCGAAGGTAAGAGCAGTGCACAGGAGGTCATAAACATGAACCTTTACATTATAGCTTTGCTTTGCCAAGTCATTGAAACCTCTGCCTCAGTTCACTAATCTGTAGGACTCATTAGGTAACAGCTGGCACATAACCATGCTTTTCCACTTTTGTGGGGTAGATATCACAACCTGATCATTGCTTTCTGGCCTAAAAATCCTTCTCAACCCAGATCACCACCACGAGTCATCGGAGCTGGCATTGGAGACAAAAGCTGTTGCTGGCCCTGTGCTGCCAGATCTTTCCAGTCCAAAACCAAGTGTGCCTTTATGTCTTCATGCATAATAGGTATGTGTTATATTTCTTGGTTGTCAAATATGACATAGTCATTAGAAATTCTCTTTCAATGTTAATCTTTCCTCATATCTAAACACTACCCAGCGAGATTCATTTGTAAACTTAAATCAGTTCATTATGCCAAAAATTGCTATTGCAATAATAGAAAGGTTACAGAGACCAGCATTTCCCTGTGTCAGAGTCCAGTCAGGAGAGAGGAACCACACTGACGGAGCATGAAAAGGAAATATAATCACTTATTATAGCGGGATTGGAGTAATGAGGTGTTGCCTAGTAAAAAGTGAAGAGGATGCTAGAGAGAGAGAGAGAGAGAGAGAGAGAGAGAGCGCGCAGGTGCAACCCCTAGGGCTGAGAGAGACCCCAAAGAACCACCCCCACCCAAGACTGAAATCCAGGCTCTGGACAGGGCACATTGATGGCTCCCTGGATGGCAGAGAGGTCACTGGGGTATCGCATGGGTGCACGTTGCCAGAAATCTTCCTCTAGGTGCTAGGGGGCGCTGGTCAGGGAAAAGTGTCCGTGGGAGGCCTTCTGCTATGAAGCTGCTTGAGCAGGGCTGGGAAAGCGAGCTGCGGGTGCCGCTGGCCCTCGTGCTCTGCAAGGGCCAAGTGCTGGAGACCTGACTGGTGATGGAGGTCAGATGCTGGGGAAGCCGCCGGGGCCTGCGGAGATCCCACCAGAACCAGAGGAGAGAAGCCCCTGCCTCCTCTAGCACCTTCTACTGACAGAGCTTAGTACCGTGAACACTGAAAAGATTCAACTAATACTGCAGTGCAGGCCATGCAGGAGGAATGTGGAGCTGAGAGGCAATAAACTGGTAACGGGCCTGTTCCCCTTCCCAAGGACTCTGTGTTGGCTGCTGCGTGGATGGGGGAGTAAATCATCAGCCGTTCTCTCTATGGGCTCCAGCTGGCTAGACTCAGGTCATTTGCCCTCCATTCCCTAGAAGCAAACCTGTTCTTCCTTCTGCATGAGTGTTACCTCTCAGCCACTGTCACCACTAGTTGGTTTCTTCTTTACAGCCTTTTGACCTTTTGCTAGTAACTGTCTAACACAGATTCCTGTGTCTGTAGGAACACTGAGTTTGAGTGAAGGTTAAAGGAATGAACCTGTCTTGTCCTGGGGAATGAACTTGTTGATCACTGCCGTAGGAAACGGAGGGGACTGGACAACAGAAGTTGTTTTAGAACACTTGCTGAAGCCAGATGACACTGAGGCAAATTGTGTCTTCCTATGCTTACTGAAGCTATCTGCAATAGTAGAAAGGCCGCTGAAACTGGGCTCCACCACTCACCATCTGTGACCTTGGACAAGTTTCCTAAACTCCCCAAGCCTCAGTTTCCTCATCTCTAAAATGGGGACAATACTTGCCCTAGTGGTTTGACTCAGTGGCTAGAGTGTCAGCCCATGCACTGAAGGGCCCTGGGTTCAATTCCGGATAAGGGCATGTACCAGGCTCGATCCCAGCCCTGCCAGTCAAGAGCGCATGCGGGAGGCAACCAGTCAATGTGTCGATCACATTGGTATTTCTCTCTGTCTCTCCCCCTCCCTTACACTCTCTCTAAAACTCAATGGAAAAATATTCTTGGGAGAGGATTAACAAAAATAACAATAAAATAAAATAAATAAAATGGGGACAATACCAATTTCAGATAGATACAATGAGAAAAAATGAGATACGAGCTTAGTGCCTGAAACTCCTCCTCTTTGCCGGAACTCCAGGCAGGCTTCCAAGGGAGGCATGGATGAAAGCTGCAACGCTGATTGCAGGCGAACGTGGGAAGATTGGTTGCTGTCTCTAAGAGGCGCAGTTACATGTTTATTTTGTGTTGGGCCTGCTCCTAAATGATGTATGTATTGTGGTGTTCACAGCATTGCCCCCAAACTTACTCTGCTTTCTTCTAATCTAATGAAGGAGACAGATGTTAAACCAGCAAGCAGGTTGACCAATGCAGAGTCCCAATGGTGTGAGTGCCATATACTAGTAAAGGAACAGGTGTGGCAGAAGAGGATAGCGAGGAAAAGAAGTTAGGCAGGGGCGAGGGGAGGGGATAACGGGAGAGCGGTGTCCGGAACGCCTGCCTGAGGAAGTGACTTCGCTGCGATGTAAGGAGGAGTCGGAGCTGGGTGTCGCACCCGCCAGGCCCAGGGAGCAGCATGTCAAGTGTCCGGAGGCGCAAGGAGCTCAGCGCATTCGAGAAAGCGGAGAAGTGCAGCTGGGCCCAGAGGGCAAGAGACAGGTGCCAGATGGAGCTGGAGAGAGGGCCATCCAATGGTATTCTGGGGAAAGTTAAAGCCGCTGAGCAGGTTGAAGCAGGAGAGTAGCATGGCACGATTCACATTTTAAAACGATTATTCTGGCTGCTGTGCGGTGCATACATTGTTGAGAGACAGGAATGCAAGCAGTGAGATCAGTTGGGAGACATGGCATTTTAAAAACTGCCTGCAAATTCTTGACAACCCTCCCATCGAGGGGTGGTGTCTGTTGTCTCCACTTGGGTGTAGGTGGGCTTCTTATGCTTCAACAAGAGAATACAGCACTGACGTATAGGACTTTTGAGGCTGGGTCAGACAGAGACCTTTCAGGTTCTTCTTTGTGCTCTTGGGCATGCCCTTTGGGGGAACCCAGCGGCGCGTGGGCAGTCTGACTACACGTAACTGCCCTGCCGGAGGGGCTCGTGCACGTGCTCTAGTTGATAGTCCCAGCTGAGCCCAGTCTTCCAGCCACTATCCCCACCCCCAAGGCACCAGGCACATGTGTGAGGCCATCTTGGACCCGCCCGCCCGCCCAGCCCATCCTCCAGGGAGGGCCAGCCAGTGGCTTCTCAATCCCTTGGGGAGGAGAGGATTGCCCAGCTCAGCTCTGATGGACATCCCCTGCTCATACTGACTCCAAAGGTCACGTTGCTCCCCGATGGGATGGATGCCCCCTCCGCCTGCTCTGACCCTGCTAACCCACTTGGAGGCCTACTTTGGTCTGCGTGCCTAACAATCTTTTGGATCATTTTTTTTTTTTTTCCAGAAAGAGACGGTTAAGGAAGGGAAGAGAGTGAATTAACGGCCAAAACTGGAATCTTGTCTCTGTCACTACTAATGCCTGATGAAAGTCAAGTTAACCTCATTCCTAGTTACCTACACTAGCGTGCGGTACGTATAAATTATTTATTTCTGTCGGGGTAAGGGGGGTGTCTGGGGGGCAGCACGGAGGTGGGGAGATAAAGTGTTCTGTGGTCAGTAAATCAGAGAAATGTGTGTCAATGAGCTAGATACCTTTGCATATTGGAATACCTTTTTCTTTCATTTCCTGCATTTAACCCACTGGCATTTATTGTTTCTTCCCTCATGTCTTTCTAATGTGTCCACTTAAAATCATATATTAACATTGAGCTTCTATTATATGCTAGGCATTTTAATCTTTACAGGAATTATGTCAGGTAATTTCACATCTGTTTTCTAAGTAATGAAACAGGTTTAGGGAAGACGGAACCTTTCTGGTCACGGAGCTCATGCATGATCCCAGCAGTACCTTCTGACTCCGAAGCCCATGCTTTGGCCAGTAACACATGTTTTCTCTCCATTCCTCTGCAGTGACCTTCTCATTTCCCCAGGCGACAGCATGTCTAGTTTGTCTTCTTTCCCTCCAGTCTCTTTCTGCTTCAATCGCCCTGCTTCGCACTATACCCTGCTGTCAGGTAGATTTCTCTTAAACACATATAAAGCCCAAACCAGGACCCTAGCTTCTGATTTGATCTGGCAGGAGAGGGGGGGTGCGGATTAGGGGGGGTCTGTGAAGTTTCCTTAGCTTGTGGCCAAAACATTTTCTGCTTCCATTGCAATTTTCAAAGGAAAAAAAAGATGATAAACTATCAGAAGAAGGCGAAGCAGTTAAAACCTTCACGAGTACTTGAATCGCATGAGCCCTCAAGCAGGTGAATGTGACGAGGCAGAGGATGTGGACAAGGGCGGAGCCATGGCCCCTCTCGCCTGCTTTCCCTTCTGTTCCCTCCCATTCACCAGGGAGGCGGGGCCCTCTTCCCCGCCCCACGCACAGGAGACCAGGTCTGGGAACCCTACCAACAATCCACGATGGAAAGTGGAAAAGGAAACTGATGTTTTGATTAAGTGAATATTTGAAATTATTTCATTCCCAAGAAAAATATCCCAATTAAAGTGCCAAGCATTCAGTATTCACAAACAGAAAACAGATGCAACATGTGTTCAGTTTGAAAATGACTTGGGAATAACTCTCCCGAAATTGTGTGGACATATTTAAACAATATAATTCATAACAGAGCTCTAGAGGGGTTTCTAAGAGGAGACAAAGGAGGACTATACACACATGTGGCTCTCCCCAGAGTATGGGCAGGACCAAGTGTAATAAATACATGTCCGCTCTTTAGCTCTGCAATTTCCACATGCTTTTTAAGTGACTGCATTACTGATTACATTAGACCCTGAAATCTTTTCTTTTTTTTAGAAATATATATAAAGTGCTGATGTTTTTAGAACCAAATTATAAAAATAATTAACCAGTGGAAAATGGTTTTTTCTCCTCAAGTTCAATGCTTTCCTAAAAAATTTCCTGCTTCCTGATTTGGAAAATGAACTTGGAGCCAAGGTTTACTTTCTCTTAGAAAGGAAACTTCAATACAGATCTCTCATCCTTTGATCCTTTTAGAAAAATGAAGCTTATCACTCTTCAGAAAACAAAAGCCTCTGATAATTTTTTGCATTCCTTTTGCATCAACATAAATGTGTTTTTGGAGTGCAAAAACTAGGATTATAGCGGGCAGTGGTTTGTTGTTGTTTTTTTTGTTATCAGGATGGCTAAATTGTAGCCAGTCTTCCATCCGAGTGAATCAACAAGTTTTAGCAGGTCCAAAAGACGTTTCCACATGTTTCTAATCAGAAAGTTAATGGTGGCTATCGAATTACTGTATCTTACAGTTCACACTGTCATCTGTATTTTATATTTATTTTAATCGTATTTTTTGTCTCAACAAATGAGATTTCTCATGTTTGAATGTGTTGTTTTAGCAACAGTTCTCATATTTAAAATAAATTTACCTGGAATCTATCACTAAATGTACAGGGTGGGGCAAAAGTAGGTTTACAATTGTGAGTACACAAAACAGAGTTTATTCTTATATTATTTATTTTTTAATGTATTTTTATTGTTGATAGTATTACAGATATCTTCCATTTCCCCTCCTTGCCCCCTCCTCTCAGCTCTTCCTCTTGTATTATTACTTATTAATGTTTTATTTTCCATACAAACAACTGTAAACCGACTTTTGCTCCACCCTGTATATTGAGTGCTCACTGCATGCAAAACATACTGTGCTGGTATGAACATTCCCTTTGAATTATACTTTTATAATGGTCAACTTACGTGTTAATTTTATTGACTGATTTTCAGAAAAAAATTTCAATTTGATTTTCTTCATTCTATATCCATACATATTTTTACCAAAAAGCTATTTACTATACATATTTTAAACTGCTTTTTAAAATAAAATGTTTTCCAAGGATAGGGTTCTAATAGAAATGCATCATAATTTTAAAAACTGCATAGTATACTGTTTTATCAATTACTATAATTTACTTACTAATTTCATATTGGCGATTATTTAGATTGCATTCTATTTTTTTTTCCCATAAAAAGATGCAACAGTGTTTCTTCCTAAAATGCTTTGAGGTTTGATGTCAAAAATTTTATGAAAATTTAAAAAAAATTATGCATGTGGAGACTATTACTAACTCTAATTTACTATAGCATTTCAATTTCTGCCAACTTTGCAGAGATGGTTTTAACAAAGTGTAAAGATGGTAATGTTTTTGGCCTTAGGATAAAGGTCAGTGAATTGAAATAAGGATGATATTAACAGCAGAGCTGATGGTTTCATTCCATAAACATTAATTCAGTCAGTATCTATTGAGTTACCCACAGAGTGTGCCTTCGAATATCTTCCTGACCAGCAGGGGGAGCAGACAGGGACGTGTACAAATCCTAAGGACTCACCACCTCAAGTTCATAAGGTTGCATTTGGGATGATGAAGGAAGTTCAGTGTAAATATTGAAAAGAAACATGTGCTGTTGTGTGTGTTCTTTTTTATTAAATTTATTGGAGTGACAGTTAATAAAGTTATATAGGTTCAAGTGTACAATTCTATGATACATGATCTGTATATTGCATTGTGTTTACCACCCAAAGTCAAATCTCCTTTCAACACCATATATTTGACTCCCTTTACCCTTTATTACTCCCCCACCCCCTTTCCTCAGGGAAACACCATACTGTTATCTGTGTCTACGAGTTTTGGTTTTATATCCCACATATGAGTGAAATCATATATGGTTCTTGACTTTTTCTGTTTTTTATTTTTATCATTGATAAACTATACCTCTTCTTTAGAGCCCTACTTTTCTTCTTATTTTTTTTTTCTTACTCAACCGGAGAAACATAAAATTTTAATTTTTCTAGCATCAGGATACATTTAACAACCCTTAATATCATTCTAAGAAAGAGCATCCTAGGCAAGTATTTTCTAAGGTAGTTACTTTCTCCCTCAAGCGTTGGCCAGCCACCTGCTAATTGTGGGTCTAGTTTCTTTCCTGTCTTCTGCCACCCCATCTCCGTTGGCCTGGCCGCAGCAGGAAGTCACTGGGATGACGCAGGGACTCCCTCAGGTGGCTCCCTGCGGCTGCCCTGTGTTCTGCGGCTCTGGGATCCCTCCTTGATTGTGATGTGACTCCAGAGACCTTTCACTCTGGAGGTTGTGGTGGTGACGTTCTTGTGTAATTTCTCCTCCAGAGTGGAAGGCCACTCACTGTGTCAGCTAAGTACTTCACAGAGGTGTTTTTCTCTGCAGAATTGAGAACCTCATGGGAGAAAACAGTATTTTTAATGTTTTCTGTAATTGATTTTTTTTTTAGAGAGAGAAGAAGGGAGAGGGAGAGATAGAAACATCAATGAGAGAGGCACTGATCAGCTGCCTCCTGCACGCTGGCTACTGGATGAGCCCGTAACCCCGGCATGTGCCCTGACAGAGATGGAACCAGTGACCTTGTAGTGCATGGGACCAGGCTCAATCCACTGAACCACACTGGCCTGGAGGAAACAGTATTTTTATTTTATATGAACACACTGAATTATAGTTTGTGTGATGCAGAAATTGTATAAAATCTATGCCAGCCTATTTCCCTCTCCTTCATCAGTACAATTAGAAAGCTAAGATTAGTGTAGCTATATCAACTCTTTATTTCCTTTAGTAATACTATGTGTTTTCAATATCAGGTGTCTAGGGAACAAATACTCATGATGTTGGATAACATGAATGACAAGTGTATTTCCCACATGCTTAATTTACCTCTGAATACACACTTGGTCAAAGGTCTGAGGTGCAGAAGAATGAGGCTGGAGACCCATCGTTATATGTATTTTCAATCAAGATACAAAGATCTGGGCCAAGGAGAAGACCAGATTTTATATTTAGAGATTTGTTAACAGATTAAATAGGAAGTGGAAGATAAGACTAGAGTCATAATAATAATAGCAACAACAACACTGGCTGTGGCGTCGTCCACCTGAGCATCTAACCAAAATGGAGAAAGTGTTTAGAACACATATTACTAAAAAAACAAAACCCCACTATCCAGAATATTAAATACTGGTATAAATCAATAGGCAAGATGACCAGATGACCTGAATAAGCTCCATACAAAAGAAGAAATCAAGTGGCTGACAAATATATGAAAGATACCAAAATCTTATTACAACCGTATCATTAAACAACTATCTTATTGGATAAATTTTTTAAGTCCATACTTTATCAATCTTTTCTGATTTGTGTAAAGAAAGAGAAAATATATTTATTAATACCTTTTCAATAAAAATAGATTCTTATTTTTCTTGCTGATATGGTAATAACAATGTATTGAAATGAAGTGTTTATATAAAAATGCCTATAAAGTCAGATATTCTTCATTAGAACAGATAACTTAGAACATTGGATAACTTAAACTATATCAACTTTTATTAACAACTAGTGGCCTGGTACACAGATTGTGCACATTGAAAGGAAATTAATTAGAATATTTTAATATCACTATTTGCCCTTTCTCTATAATAGAAGTGCCAACCAAATTCATGATCGACAATGACAGATTGAAACATACGCATGTGATTGG